TCAGGATAACAACTCTGACATTTAACGTTAATAACTCTAAAGTAAAGTCACAACGGTGTCATCATGTTAGGTATAAAGAAGAGTTTTCCACTATCCCTGCAAAAAAACACATTAGCTTTAATTTTGTGCCGTCAGTCATTACATAAGACTGCGTGGTCAGTCTTTTTTTTGTTACACGCTCAAAAAACCTCAATTATTCTGCAAGCTAATGCCTGAGGATGACTCATTACTTTAATAACAACCCATAGTGTGCTTTACTTCCATGACAACTATCATTTTGTCAGGCTAGGTCTCTCATGCAAATGATGATTGTCACATCCTCCCAGCCACTTATTCAGCTTTCCATCCATTCCCTCTTGTACAGTATTTCTTGTAATTATCTGGACTCTATTAACAAACCTTCCTGCACTTATTAGTCATAAGTTATTTTACCAAACAATCATAATTAGTGCTTAAAAGGTTGCACCGCTTTCTCGTCTCTTTCTCCCAGCTGACCTCCATCTGGCTGTAATCTGACACCTACCTGCTACCTGTATAACATACCAGGAAGTAGATTTCAAGGGATATTCCTTGAAAGCTTTATATACCAGAGGGACAGTTTGTAGTTAAATAAATTATAAAATGCCTGTAGCAATATGGGAGCCACTGTCCCATACACTGGCTTTACACCAAGGGTAAAACAGATTTTAGCTTAGTATTATAGTGTATATGTTTTATGATACATAATGTTTTATTTCAATAATTACATTGTTTACTATGTAAACAAATGCAGAAATGGTCTGCCATAATAGATTATTATAGTTTTGCCTTCGTCATAGTGTTTCTACTAATTACCACTCATGTTTCCCTTCCTTGAAATAATGAATGTGTCAAAATAAAGCAGCTTTTATGTAAAAAATGCAACATGTGAGACCTCCAAAAAGTAAACAGAACAAAAACACCCACCTGTGAAAGGCTCACCCCGTCACTAGTGGATTTTCAGAAACTCAAAACAAAGAAACTGAGGGTGATTTCTATTGGAGACAGAGTCCCCTCAAGCAGGTTGTGATCGATCCTCAGCTTTAATTTCTTAATGGCTGGTTTGACCCTCTGGCCTCGTCTCTTCGCTCCGGCTCAAATTGTTTTTAAATGGCTTCTCTTTGTGAAGCTCTCGGCTCCTCTGATTGCATTAGTATCGGGCTGAACGGGGGGAAAAGGCTTTTGTCGCCGGCTACATTAGTGTTAATTCATCATGTGTTTTTTTGTGTGTGTGTGAGTACACAAGGCCATATGCGTCTCTCTGTATGTATGTGTTTGTGAAAGTGGGCAATTGTATCAGAAGACATTGATTGAGATGTTTAAATGATCCAGGTTGTGAGTTCAGTGGCTTTGTGTGTGTGTGTGTGTGTGTGTGTGTGTGTGTGTGTGTACACCTTTCTGCTGAGATGATTTAAACATTCATCAGGCTTTCATCAACCTCTAAGCCGTCCGCACCAACCCGTTATCGGCCCGTCGTTGGACAGCGGGCGAGGTTCAGTGGCCCTCAAAACCGGTTCGGTGTGTCCCCGGCCCCGTCAAGTCAAGTCGGCGTCGGCAGTCCGGCCTTCCCATTTCTGGCCGAATTCCACATGTAAAACGGCAGTGGCCCGTCGCCTCAATGAGTAAATCTGATTGGTGAGTGCTGCCGTTGACCTAGCCGAACAGTTGAGTGCACCGCGAGAAAACCCGGAAGTGAGCGATGGGTACACAAGCGCCAGTATCTTGTTATTATTAGGCATCCGTATTTCCCGTTCAGGAGTAATTGACAATAACCCGATCCTTTTGACTACTATCCCACACTCTCGTGATGAAAAGCAATGGACTGACGACAGCGGTGCTCTGTTTTACTAGTCTAGAGTATCCTCCATTCCTGGTTTAAATTTTTTTTTGGGCCCGACCAAACACAGATTAGCGGCCGCCTGCGCTGTTATGGAACGTATTACGCCTTGCGGCACACGCGCAAAACGTACGCTCCCAGTTGCCGCGGTTTTGGTGTGTTCGGAGGCATCTTTGTGACGCGCTCGAGGAGAACGGGAGCCGGACTGATCAAGTCGCGAACTGGAATTTTCTGCCGACCGTCGGCCGTCGGGGTTGGTTGCCAGCAGGCCATTAAGAGACCCCAGTCGGGCCTCCCCTTGAATGAATGTTGTCTTCCATTCAGCATCTTCTGGTTTTCCCTTGCTTAATAAAACTTACTGAAATTTAAATTAGCATAATTCATTGATGAACACCTCCACCGGAAAATGTTGAGTAGGGGAAAACACAACAACTAAAAACTGAAAAATTCTTTAAACATTGAACCCTTTATAAGTAAGATAAAGCAAATAAAGTTGATGAGGAGGGGCCAAAAGTAAGATCCACTGTTAATAGGCACTGTTTAGATAATATCGATCACCCTTAATACTAAAATGAAAAAGTCTTTTGGTCTCAAAAAACCCGCCTGTAGAGGCCCTAAAAATTTGGCTTCAAAATTGTCAGTAAGTAATCATCCTCCCACATGGAGAATACCAAGCTGCAGGCCAGCTTGAATTCACGTTGGTTGGCAGCAGATTGGCATATCGTGACAAGTGCAGTCCCTCTTTCATTGGTTAGAAGCACCTTTCGTTTAATTCAAGATTGACGATCGATTTTTACTGACTGGCTCCGAGCCATGACACTTAACTTCCTCAGTAAACAAAACACGCAGCTGGACAAAGGTTGTTTTTCTGTCCAATGCGAGAGCGGCTCCCGAGCTGGGCAGGGTGGCGCAGTTTTAGCTACATGTTGGTGGCAGTGTGGAACACAGTGAGCAGTGAGCATATGGATGAGACTTAGGATGATGAACACTGATTAACAAGTTCCTGGGAACTATCAGCGAAAACCAGAGCCAAAGACGACATTTTTTACATGATCTGATTGGCCGTCTCGCCTCTCCTCTCCTCTCCTCTCCTCTCCACTCCTCTCCTCTCCTCTCCTCTCCTCTCATGGTGTAATTAGGCCATATTCTCCTCCTTCCTCAGGCCTGATTATTCAGAGCAACAGATGCCCATCTCCCCATTTTCTCCCTCCTGTCTTATTTCACCACATTTGCACTCGCCAACTTGATATCTGCACATGCCCACCAATAAACTCATTGTTCATCCATTTGATCCTTTTCCTATCCGCCGTTCTGCTGTGCTTTCGTTTTTTTAAATTCTTCTTCTATCCGTTATTTTTCTCTTTCTTTTCTCACTTTCTCTCTCATGTCATCTCTCCCTCTCCCTCTCCCTCCCTCATGTTTTCTCTCTCCCTTATCCCTCTTTCCTGCCTTCATCTGCTCAGTATCAGCCCCACAGACCGGCTGTTATGTAACAGTCAGGTGATGTGTTGGCCTGATGAAGGGCCTTAAAGGCCTACTGCCCTGACAAACACCGCTTCTCCCCGCTTGCAACTGCTACACTCATCAGTGTGTATGGTTGTGTACATAAGTAAAGATATGTCGCATTCAAAAGCACCACTTTTTGTTTCAGTTTTTAGTCTTATATATTTGTATCTCTTAAATCATCATTTAACAAAGAATATGGCTGCAAAATTATTTAAGACTGCATGTTTAAAAGCTAACCATAACTGACTGCCACACAGATCTGACCGACACAATTGACTTTATTAGAGCGCAAATAACTGCAAGTGTTAATTTCAATCGTGTTGGATCTGCTGCTGTTTTTAGTCAAAGCACTTAACTCATAATGTCGCCAGTCAAAGATAAAGGTGAAACATCGTCAGAAACTGAAAAAAATCTTAATTCACAATCCAACAAGCATTAGAAAAGCAGACAATAGAGGAGAAATCATGTGCACTTACGAATCCACTAGGTAGTGTCAAAAGCTATTCACAGCTCCGATTCTTTTGTCTCTTTTTAGTTAAGAATGAGACTTGTAGGCACGCTGCAAGTGGGTTGTTAAAATCCCACAAAGACGAACACAGTGCGGATCGCTGTTGGGCCAACAAGATGAGTTTTGTCACCAGTGTTTGGTAGAAGGTCTAGCAGCATGAGGTGACCATATGGTGTAACTTTCTCTGCCAACGGGTGTTTCATTTTCTTTCCACCTACCTATACTTTTTCTTCTTTTTCATTCTTGCTCTGTACTCTTAGAAACGAGACAGTTTGGCTCTCAATGCTGTGACTTCTATTAAAGGCCGACTTATTTGCCAGAAATGTTCACGTAGGAGCGGTGTGAGTGCCTACATGAATTAGCTGTTCCTAACTGTAAGTAATTATTGACACCTACTGTATTCCCACTGGGCCTCCCACATATTGTCTGCAGGCACATTACAATGAAACATTGTTTTCATGAGTTATGAGCACACTCCCTGTTTGATTATGCACCATTCAAACAGGTTGTGTACATCACCAGCACATTAACTCTTGTCTGTTTATAATACTGTCGTTAATAACACTGTCAAGCTCACTGAGTAGAGAGGAGGACACTTTTCAATGTCAGCGGTGAGGTTTTTAATTTCCACAGTGTTTTTGCACATCAATAAAGAGACAGATTAGGTACTTAAAATATATACCTCGTCAAACACTGTGACAAATCCATACATATTCATTAAAAATGGTGAAAAATAACAATTTCCATTGTGGTCTACATCATATGTTTAACAAGAACAAAAGATATAAATCAGCTTTAAATGTAAATTACAGAAGGACAGAACTTCATTGAAAGCTGAGCTCTTTGGCTTTGTACTATAACAGTAAATATTATGAGAGGCACGTCCGGTAACTGATCTGAATTTGCATTGTTCAAACATGTCTACAAACAGTTCTTACTGTTGCCCGATAATAACTTTAAAGGGTTGCTGTTTCAACATGACAGCGTTATGTATATATGTTGTACGTTATATGTTTTAGATTTGGAAGAATCACTGACAGCAAGAATCATAATGAATATCCTGTTTTAAATAGTTCTTATGATTCTTTTGTTAAAACTAAAAAAATGCTCTCTCTTTCATTGTCTCTCTAGGTGCTGATATTTGCTGAAGATGAGTAGCGGGGGAGGGAACACCACGGAGCCCCCCAGAGGGGGAGAGTCTCTGAAGAGGAAGGACTGTCAGTCAGACCTCCTGGGCCCCAGGTGAAGGCCTTCTTCCTTAGTCCACAGTCTTTGTACATCACTATAACGCTGCTGTAGCATTAACACACACCTGTTTGCAATAACCATATACTTCTGTACAGTAATAACACAACTTTACATTATAATAACTTCAGGACGAGATAACCTCACCAGGAGTGTCAGTACAATGCAGCATTCAATCAATTATTATTAATTAATTAATTATCCTCATTCTGGCCTTATAGGGTTGGGTGTCACTTATTGATTTCAGTTCGTATTGATTCCCACTTTTGATTCTTGTCTCTCCATTTGAGTGTGAAAAGAAACGCAAAAAGTCCAATATGTAGATAATAAGTAATTTTTTATGCATGATTCCTGGGGTTCTTTTTTGTAACCAGGTAAAATAATAAATGCACTTGTTTTCAGGGAGTGGGAGAAAAAGCGGGGCGGGGGGAGAGGTTGGTGAAACGAGTCGAGGCTCCGCAGGTCGATGAAGAAAAGTGCTGCTGCAGCATTTTTACAGACGACAGTTTATATAAGGGCTAACAAGTCGTTGTGCTCTCAGTGTCCGAGAGGATGCATGAAGGTTGTGGTGACGATGTACTGTGAGTTGCGCTGTGCTGAGGTTATAATGAGGACACATGGATTGTAGTTCAGTTTGTAGTGAGGCTGTTAGGAAGTCAGAGTGCGGATGTCTGTGTTTCAACGAAGGTACACAGTAATCACTGCACAAAACTGGGCGCGGAGGGTATGCCAGCAAACATCATGAAGCACTGATGATACCCCCAGTTGTAGTCATAATGCTATACAATTAGCTAATGCTAGCACGTCCAACACAAGTTTAAAACATGCATGCATGGAATAAAAATAGTGAGAGATTTTAGTGTTTTTTTTAGGGCTTGGAAAGTGGTTGAAAATGCTTTAATTAAACCAATAAGTTTCAAATTCATGTATTTGATAATTTAACTATTTAGATACTAATCTTGCTTCTCATTCATTTTTGGTGTCCGGCAGCCCTAAGAGGAACACTGAGAGGAGGAACCGGGAGCAGGAGAACAAGTACATCGAGGAGCTGGCCGAGCTGATCTTCGCCAACATCAACGACATGGACGACCTCAACGTCAAGCCGGACAAATGTGCCATCCTCAAAGAGACGGTGAAGCAGATCAGGCAGATCAAGGAGCAGGGTGAGGATAATGTTAATGTTCCTTCTATTACAGTTCTGGTGCCATATCCTGTACATGTATGTGTGTGTATATGATGCATCAAAACATTTACAGTTTATGCTTTAGAAACTTAATCTGTAAAAATCTGTAAGTATACTGTATGATATATATGTCATGTGTACTATTTCCACACATCCGGTTTAACCTGTTTTGTGGGGGATGCAACGTGCAAGCCGAGCGCTTCAGCTATGTTGACAGGGTTAGGATTTTAGAATGACTGGAACGATGTGGGCTCCCCTTTGTCCCCTTGCCCAAAATAAATCAATATAGGACTGTGCATCAGCGAGCTAGACAGCTTTTTCAAGTGAAGTCATGTGAGGATATACACAATAATCACAATTCAAGATTATCACGATAATGGAAATTCACCACGATATATTTATCTGTTTTTTATTGCGATAATATCGTATGTTACATCTCTAATCTGCATTCAATTCAATTATTTAATCAAGAATCCAGGAGATCTTTGGTGCAGTTTGATAGGAAGGAAAACATTACAGAAAATAACCCCAGAGTGCAAAGCTTTATGCAACAAATGGATGTTGACTTAGGACAGTCTGCTGTATTCTTGGGAAGCTCAGCAGAGCTTTATACATTATGTATACATTTTATACTCTACATGAAAATATAATGCTGTAGGCACAGACAGTAAGGCTTGATAGGACAGCTTAAGTTGGTCAGGGACACGCAGCAAAGGGGCGCGGGTTGGATTTAAACCCGGGCCGCTGCAGTAAAGACTCAGCCTGGGTACATGGGGTGCTCTACCAGGTGAACTACCAGAGGGCCATAGTAAAACAGCTTTTTTAAAAACCAGTCAGCCAGGAATCTGTTTTAACAGAGCAGAGATGAGGTGAGAAAACTATTACGGAAAGAAGCGATCTGATATGTTTCATGGTGACATAGCGTCTCTGCTCGTGTTCACACCACCACAAACATTGGAAAAGTGTCGGGGGAGAATGCGGTTGTTGTAGGAAGTGAAGAGTCTTAAATAATTTTATACATAGGTCTACACCAGGTAGAGGTCGCTTAAAAAAAAAAAATACTTGTTCCACATACCAAACGTGTGAAACCACGCCTAATCTTGTACTGCGTGGAATAAAACAAAATAAAAATGCCACCACCAAAGAAAAGCCACCACGCGTCTTCTCTTTAGCATGCATGTGAACATAAATAAGAATATTAGAATCAATTATAATAAATGGAGAGTGAGATTAAAAACCCCCCCCCCCCCCCCCCAAAAAAAAATACACAAAATGAAAATCCCTTCCAGTGATCGGTCTAAACTCCGACTGTGTCCTGTGTATCAGTTCTCACCCATCTGGCAACTGAAGTGGATGTCAACAAACTGAAATGTATGTGAGTGTTAACACAGACTGTGTAATGATAATGTGTGTGATGGTGATGGTGAGACAGACTGAACCAGGGCTGTTATGTAACTCTGACCAACATGATGTAAGTCTGTAGAGGAAAGCAGGCCGATAGGCTCGGGCTCTCAACCTCCCCATCACCCACCATTATTCCCTTTTGTCTCCTTTCTTTTTCACCTCCCCTCCCCTCCTACCTCTGTGTGTCCTCCCCCGCTCTCTACTCTCCCCTTAACTTTTCGCGTGCCTCTCTAACCCTTCTGCAAACCATATTTGTCGCTTAATTTCCTAAACTTTCCCTTTTTTCCTCTCCTTCATCTCTTTACCCTTTTCCTGTCCATCTTTCATCCTTCCTCAACCATTTGTTTTTCCTTTCCTCCACCCCTCTATCTCCTCTCCTTCTACTCTTCCCCCACTCACTCTCTTTCTCTTATTTCATCCCTCTCTCCATCGCTCTTTTTCTCATCCTCCCTCTCCTCTTTTTGTCCCTGTGGTCGACCAGTCGGTGTCCACGTGTTTTAGCACCATTTGTGTCTGAAAACAACAGCTGAATAAGCACACGCAGGCACACATACACACATAGATGATACACAAGTCACACAGCTGTCTGGTCGCCTTCAGAAAGCCACACTGCAAAAACAACCCTTCTAGAAACAAATCGAATATAATCATATTGTCTTGTATTGAGCAAAAAACAATTGCCAATGGGGTAAACCAAGTTTGCCTGGCTAAAATTCTTAAAACTAGCATAAAATCTCTCCACGAAAGACTGTAAAACTAGAAAAAATGGCATAAAATGTAGGCAAGTTGTGTTATTTAAGATAGACTTAAGTATTTGGTCACTTTATTGAGCTAAATTTAAGAATTTGTACCTTAAGCTAAAAAAATCTTCCAATAAGACACAGTTTCTTCAAACAGCATAATAAAAATAAGCGACTTTGTCTTAAATGAAGGCACCAGAAGCTTTTTTATTTTTTAGCATTTTGTATTAAAACTAAACAGCTGCTTCATTTACAATACCGGGACAAGACTACTTTCTGTTAAATAAAGAAGTTTTGCAAGTGGATTTACTCTTAAAATAAGGAAAATAATCTTGTTCCTCCGTGGGGATATTATGCAAACCATTGTTGTAATCTATTAAGCTCAATATTAGCTGTAATATCGTATTAAGACAAAGATGACTTTTTTATTCTTTATTGCAAAACATTATTAAATTATTTTTCTTTTAAGAGAAAAATAAACAACGCACTGTTGTCCAGCAGCCTTAGTGTTTATCTAATGAGGTGGATTTGAGACTAAATGTATTGATAGCAAACACAAGTTTTTATAAAATAACATAAGACCATATAATCATATAATCAAACCAGCACTACAACTTAATGAATACTAGATAAAGGGAATGAGTAGCTTTATTTGGTGCAGAAAAAAGGTCACCTGGTGGAAAGACAGAACATGTACACAGACAAAAGCAAATAGTAAAGCGCCTCCTTGTGTGTGTGTATGTGTGAGAGTTTTGTCTTTGTGTGTCAAACAACTTAGCAGGGTGTGTTTGGCCCACAAGTGTCATTTAATTGCAGTGTCATATAATAGATGGAAGATGAGTGTGTATGTGTGCTTCCATTTGTGTCAACTCAGCAACTGTCCCTCTGCTCAGACTGAACAAGAACCAGCAGCATCTAACAATAAAGTGTGTATATACACTGTATATATATGTGTTTGTGTGTGTGTGTAGCTGACAAGCTTACTTAAGAATGTGGCTAAATGTAAAGGGTTGGTGTATTCCTAAGCCAAAAGGATTTATAATAATAAGCTCGCTGGCGAACAAAGGTTTATGACACTTACATGTTTTGTTCAGCCAGACAATCCACACAAGTGAATGCAACTTCCATGTTTTTTGAAGCGTAAATGCGATTGTCAGAAGCTAAAAGCTATAAACGAACTACACCACGGTTGCACGACTTCAGCGTCACAACCACTGAACTTCCAGCTTGTAATTAAAATCTACAAGTTGGAAAGTTTGACTTAGAATAGAGCGTGAGTTCAAACACAACCGGGCTGTAGAGACAGACTAGTGAAGTCTTTTGCGTTAGCTTTGTGTTGTAGAACAAAACGTGAAAATCTCGTCAGCTTGTGTTAACCACATACCTTACTTCAGACATCTAACAACAAATCCATTCAAATAACTTCAAGTGCTAAAATGCTAACTCACTTCGAGGTTTTAGGACTGCACGAAAACTAAATAAGACGATAGGACTTGACTATTTATTCAATTAGTTTTCTGGCAATCTGCTAATTGAAATAATTAACAAGGTTCTTGTTTTGGAGTCGTTGCAGCTGTGAGCGTACAAAGGTTGGGAGCTGCCACAATGTGAAAGCTCTTGTCAGAGTTATTGAGAGCTAATGAGCCGCGCGTCTGTCCGTGCTGCGGACTGGTGGATATATTTATTTACAAGCTGTGTGCCAACCTAGAGTTTCTCATCTTCATCTGATGATGTTGATGTAATGTTCAGCTTTGTTGAGCTCTCTGCTGGTCCCACTACTAAAGCACAGCCACAGAAAATGTTACACAAAATCACTCAACAACCTTTGTGAAAGGAAATTGGGAGATTTAAGCTCTAAACCTGAACACACAGACTGATCATGTGTAATACAGTCTATCACATTTAATGATAAAAAAAAACGGGGACTTTAATACCCTCCAAACCTACATGACGGCCACTCTAGGCTCTAAAGTGACAGGGTTTAAGGGCTGATGACTCTGTACAGCTCTGGTCCCACAACAGGAATGTCAGCTATGTGGCCTAATGGGGCCATGGGAGGCTTAACAGTCCACTGGTACAGCCAGGGAGGAGAGTGGAGACTGGGCTCTAATATCTCTAAATGTGTGTAATGTACCGCACATTAGCGTGGCGATACCTGCTCTCTGTGACATTCCAGGCACTCAAACCTGCAGGCTTGACAGTGCATCCTCTCAATGACGGAGGACCTGGGTCATACTAGCAGAAGGTGTAACTTAGGGTGAGCGAAAGACTAGCCAGGGAGTGTGTGAGAGGGTGTCTGCTGGCCCGAGGGTGATCATCACAAAAAACACTCTGTTTTCTGGGAAAAGAAAATACTAAAGAAAAAGCTTCATTCTGACAAACTGTGTTTTCTTCCAAGAAAAAAAAGTGTGGTGGTAAACATACAGTCTGTTACTTCATTTGATACAAACCCCTCCTTTTGATGTTGAGCTTTAACTTTTAATGCATGTAATGCATTCACTAAATTCCTCTGAAATACATTATGAAGTTTTTTTCTTCACTTCTCAGCAATGGGATGGAAATTCATGTTAAAACACGGCCAACGAAAGTTTGCAAAACCTGGGAAAAACCTTTTCACGTCTCTCGTTCTCGTCTTTTACAGAAAAAGCTCCGGTGGCTGATGCTGAGGAGGTGCAGAAGGCCGACGTCTCCTCCACAGGACAGGGTGTCATTGATAAAGACGCCCTTGGGCCCATGATGCTGGAGGTAGGTTCAGGCCAACTTTAGTCTGACTCTGTTATCACCCTCCGAGGGAAAAAAAGAGTCTAAAGGTCAAAGCGATTGCGACACAAAACAGAACATTAGCTGGAGGTGCAATGATGACACCGAGAATGATTATTCAGAGTATTTCTATTCACAACAGCGGCCTTTAATTGAACTGTTTTCACAACTGACACAACTTGGGAAGAAGTAACAGTTTGAATTAAATATTCTTATGTTTCAAAATGGGGAAGTGCACCGTAATTATTTTTGCAATGCGAGAATGATTGTCGGAGTTCTTGTTTTTGCTCCGAATGAAACAGCATTTTAAAAAGAAATCTGTCTTCAAGGCTGCAGGTTTTTTTAATGCATGTATTTTGTCTGCAGCACATTTAGAGCTCGTCTTTCTGACTTTAAATGGCGTTGCACTCTACAGTGATGCAGAGAGATAAGAGGTCCTCTGGTTAGCGGCAATGCCGTCATCAAGCCTACTCTAGTGTGTCTGTGTGTGGGCATGTGTGTGTGGTGACGTATAACATGGGACCCAATGAGGTATAAATACCTTTTCTGAAAAGCCAGATTAGAAAAGGAGGGGAGGAGCTACAAACACACACACACAGACACACACAGAGGCTATATATAGCTTCCACAAGCCGCAACACTGGCTGAGGTGTCATTCAAGCCAAGACCCTTTATATTCTATTCTATTCTATTCTATTCTATTCTATTCTATTCTACAGCAGTTTGGATGATAAGCAGGCAGACGTGCTGTAGGAGGCTTGTGCAGACATGTGCCAGACTAAAGGGCCAATCACAGTCTGTACATATAGGTGCTGAGTTGACAGGAATGAAAGAATAGAAAACTACACACACAGAAATCACACGCACAGCGCTGTACACTCGCTGTAATACCTTGAATTATAATAGCAAGTTACTGCTTGGTATTTTTTGTGTCATAATTATGGAGCTTTGTTTTTAATTGTTGTAATTTAAAAGCAGTGGACAGTTTGAAACATATATTGTCCACACAGATCCGAAACTGTTGCATTTGTTCCTGCAAGAAGACACTATGTTTACTGTAGTTTACAGTAAACAAAGTGTCTTTTGCTGTTTTGAGCATACATCACACACTCCTTGTAACAAAAAGTAAAGACAAAAATGAAAGATTATCAAGTGCAAATTCGCTAATATAAAATGGCAATAAATGGTTACTCTTTGAATTGTATTTTCTAAAGTATTTTTAGCAGGTAGCCAAACACAAAGAGTAACATCTCCATTTTCCCTTTCACTTGTATTAATTTAGTGTAATCAGCTTTGGGTGGAAAGTTAAGATGAACTTTAATTAACATCCAATGCCCGCTCCTGCTGGCCTTATGCATTTTCTTTCTTCTCTAATCTCCTTCTACCTTGTCTTCTTCCTCCTTTCCTTCACTTTTACCTCTATCTCTTTTTCTTTTTCCCTCTCTCCAAATTTGCCCTAATTTTTTTTTATACATTTCCATTTTCTCCTCTCTGCTCCTCTCCCTACTTTCCACCTCCAACTATCTTGTTCTTCTCTTCTTCCTTCCTGATCTTCTCCTCGTTCCTTCCCTTCATCCCCTTTCCCCTGTCCCCTCTGCCCTCCCACTGTTTCCTCACCCCTCAGGCCCTGGACGGCTTCTTTTTCGTGGTCAACATGGAGGGCAACATAGTGTTTGTCTCGGAGAACGTTAGCCAGTATTTGCGATACCAGCAGGAGGAGCTGATGAACACCAGCGTCTACAGTGTGCTGCATGTCGGAGATCACGACGAGTTCGTCAAGAACCTCCTCCCCAAGAGCCTGGGTAAGAACCACAGGAAGTTTACTGTAACGTAGTCTAATAAAGTAGCCTTTTCAGATGATGTGAGATGTTCCCTAGCCACCATATTGGATTACCCTAACCCTTACCAGCAATGAATGAGTATTTATGGTTTATTTCACAGCACTAAAAAAGAATGGGGAAGATTCTCCTTAGCTAGATGATCAAGCTCAAATAGGCTTGACTGATATCTGTCTTTTACTTCCCACATTAAATTAGCTCTTGTTTCATGTCTAGTAGCAGGTAGTAGCTCGTATTAGCTTTTGTTGTAGTTAGCGAGTCACAGTGTACTCAGGTTAACATCGCCCCAAACCACTGTTTAGCTGGAGGGGAGTTTCCTCAATTAACCTGAACAAACTGTTAGCTAAGTTTATTTAGCTGAGTAACGAATGTCAACATTATGTCAATCTTACCTTGAAAGACCTCTGTCTCCACAGCCTCACAGAGTTCTGGAGAACTGTGAGACATTTAGGCACAAGAACATAATATTCATAGCATGGAAGAGGAGAGTGAGGTGAAGGCATTGCAATCTGCAACTACTCGCTAGCTGCCACTAAATCCTACACACTGGACCTTCAGCATGCTTACGCTGACAGCTTCTCATGCCTCCCTTTTTGTTTTGTTGTCTCTATTTGTCTTCCAGTCAATCATCGCAGCAGTGATTCGTCCAACAGGAACAGTCACACCTTCAACTGTCGCATGTTGGTCAACCCTCACGCCGACGGCGAGGCCCGGCCGGCGTCCGACCAGCAGGACGCGTCACAGCAGAAGTATGAGACCATGCAGTGTTTTGCTGTCTCCGAACCCAAGTCTATCAAGGAAGAGGGGGAAGGTATTGTCTCTAAATTAAATCTTTGGCTTTTTTCACTTGGTCTTTGTTTGTTTTTTTATTTGATTTCTTTGGTTACTGTCTCATTGTTTTCCTCTTTCTCTCCGTCCCCACATCTCTCTCTTGGTCTTTTATTTGGCTTTAAATCTTATCTGATTTAGCCTTGTCTTTTCCATTTTCCCTCTCTATCTGTCTCTTTTGTTCCTTCCCTTTTGCTCTCCTTGTTTTAATCTCTCTCGATTTGGTTCCTCTTTTGTTATTTGCATGTCTCTATTTGTTTCTGTGTGCTCTTAGTTTTTGCCTTTCCATTCCTACGTGTTGTTTCTCGCTGTTACTTTCTTCGTTCTCTGTCATTCCATCTCGGTCTTGACTTTCTGTCCTTTTCCCATCACTTTTTCCATCCCCACTTTCCCTGTCTCTGGTGTCCTGTCCTCTTTTCATCACCACTCTACTTGTCCTCCCTTCCACCGGGAGAGACTAATTAGTGTGTGGCACTTTGTCATCGTCCCATCTTATCTTATCACACACATACACACTAGGGAAAAGAATCTGTCTGGCACTCTAATTTTAGATGTCTGACAACCAGATATTCTTCCAATCTCTCCCCCGACAGGAGGAGCATGTCTGGTGGAGAGACGGAGGGCTGCAAGCTGGAATTTAGGCAGATGTTAAAGCTCAGGCTGATATTGGGAGTGAGATCAATGATGAGGTTGAGGTTGGTGTCCGTGCTGAGTTTGATTTCAGCACTACAGTATGGTTATGGTGTATCTGTGGTTGAAAGTGAGAAAAGAGGGTTTGGGTGAAGTTGAGTTTGAGGTCGGGGTTGATGTTGACGCTGCACTTGTTCAGGATGAAACGTGTAGAGTATTGTGGGTAGTAGACATGAGTTTGAGGTTAAATCTGGAGGCTGTACAGTCGACTCAAGGTGTTAACAGGAGTCCCGCAGTAGATGCCTGTGGTGTAGGTTGTGATTTATATAGTGGTTCGGTGTTAAACACCAGACAGTATATTAAGCGATTTAGAGCTTTAATTATATTCTCCACAGTAACTTTCTTTCATTTACTGCCACTGATATGAGCAACAGTGGGAACGTCCGCCTTGTTTCATTACTGAATATTATAATAAAATTAATTTATTAACTGATTATGTTTGAACAAAATAAAGTCCAGTGGCATACTACAGGCTCCATAGGACTGAGGTGAGACTAAATGAGGTTGAGGTTAAAGTCGGGTCTGAGTTTCAGATCTTTAGTGATGTGCTTAAAGCAGAAGTAGGCAGCTTTTTCTTGCCGTCATTGGGCAAAACTTCCATAATAACCTTTCAGCATATTGTACTTAAAGTGGTCTGAGAGAAAACCAGACTTCTGCACCTCATGTTAGCTCTGTTTTCAGACTTTAGAAGATCCAGTCTGTAACGAGAGGCTTTGGCCAATCACAGGTCATTTCATACTGTTGGCTGTTTTCACTAGGACTCCTGCTGCTGCCCTTTGAACTTGTGTGGTTTGGTGGGAGGGGCTTAGCGGAGCAATACGAGGCGGAGCAGATAGAGAGGCGGAAGGTTTTGCATAGGTTTATCCAGGTTTTGCCTACTGCAGGTTTAAAAGACTATCAAGTGACCCTTTTGAAGCATGCATTGTCTTTATGAAGATAGAAACACAGACAGCATGATTAATAAGGCAGACCTGTTGCCTTGTGTTTTAGTGAGGGAAGCTATAACAGGTGGGGAGCAGGAAGAAGACCACCCAAGAGAGGAAGAGTGAGCTCACACTCGCCTACAAACACACACACAGGATGGTAGCCACCAAAGGAAAAAGGCACCAATTGAAATCACATTGTTGTTCTAACAGCCAAACTCTTATTCTTATGCATATGCTAAAAGGACTATTTTAATCTGTACTTTTCCAAACATGCAGATTTCCAGTCATGTCTCATCTGCGTGGCAAGAAGAGTCCCCGTCAAAGAGAGACCTGTGATGCCAACGTACGAGAGCTTCACCACGCGTCAGGACCTTCAAGGTAGGACCGGAGGAGGAGTTTCTACTGCTATTACATCGGGTGACAAGTGTAAATTAGTGTGGTGTTGTTTGAAAACCCAGCTGTTTTATAATCAGTTTTTCATTATGAGGTCAGGAACAAGTTTGCGCAGGTAGTTAGTGCCTTGCTTCAAGACACTTCAGCAGGGTGGATGCTTGCTGACGTAAGGGCTGGAACATAAGTGGCGGTTACACTGCTAAGTAATTACCCCACTGCACCATATACAGGCAAGCGTCAAAACATGAAAGTAATCTGTTAACATCGGGTCTTCTACCTGTCCAGGTAAGATCACGTCCCTGGACACCAGTCTGCTCCGCGCGTCCATGAAGCCGGGCTGGGAGGACCTGGTCCGCCGGTGCATTCAGAGGTTTCACCTGCAGAATGACGGGGAGATGTCCTTCGCAAAGAAACACCAGCAAGAAGGTGAGTATGACAAGTCAGAGCTCACCCTGCAGGCTGGAACTGATTAAACATAATGGAGGCTTTTTGCAGCCTAAACATGTTAATCTTTCTTTTTCTTTTCTTGCTTGATCGTTGTCTTGATTCCTTTTTTTAGGTTCAATGTGAACAAATTGAGGGTTCAGTGATTTAGAAATCGTTTGAGGAATCAATCAAAGAAGGATAATCTACTTAATATCCATGTTGGGAGTGTTTTGCAGATTAAATACATGTGTAGCATTCATGGCTGTCAACTAATCTTTGTACAGACTCTTTTTTGGGAATCAGTTTGTAGGAAGCTGTCCCTCTCAGTGGCTGTAAGTCATGTTATGAGGATTTTTTCCGGTAATAAGTGTCATTTTCTATATTCGTCTGTCTCCTCGCAGTGTTGAGGAACGGCCACGCGCTCAGCCCTCTGTACAGATTCTCCCTGGCAGACGGCAACATCGTCTCAGCTCACACCAAGAGCAAGCTGGTGCGATCTACAGCCACTAACGAACCACAGCTCTACATGTCCCTGCACATCCTACAGAGGTAGCAGCTACTCTTTCTCTGCCTCTATCTTTCTTCTACATTGTATTCAGTCTCAACGATGAATGAACTTTATCTTAAATAAGAATCCTTCATATATTGTCGCAGATTCCATCTTTAAAAGGTTGCATCAGTTTTCTACACCTTTTTCAAAGTCTTTTTGGGTGTAATTCTTTCCTATTATGTGCCTAACAATATCTTTTAAATGATAAGAACCTCCCTGGACAAGAGATTTGTTTGAACTTAATCTCTAATTTCAGTTAAGTTAAGGTTTAGTAGAGTTTATTGTTGAAAGAAGCAGGATTTAAGCCCCCTGAAAATTCATCTAAATCTATTAAACAGAGGTAGGTATTGAACAAAATTGATGAACTACATTATTGAAAACAGTTAGTGAACCAACATTATAGTTTTAATAAGCGTATATTGAGTTATTTTTTGATGCGTTTATAGTTCAGTAGAAGTACAAACAGCAAGATTTTAAACAAAAATTCACATTTTCAGTCTCAGCCTAAAACCCAATCTGCAACAGAGAGCAGTGTCTGTACGGTCAGAGGTGATAAATCATCTCTGAACTGAAAAACTCTTAAACCTGCAGGGAGTCCGTCCAAAGAAAGCTTTATACCTCTCCACCAATCATAGACGCAATAAAATATCTTAAGGTTTGAGGAGCCAAGTTATATAGTTCAGTTGGTAGCTGCCACTTAAGGCCACCCAAGATTAGAAAATTGCTAATGGAAGCATATCTTCCTCCTCGTCTTTCCCCTGATGACCTGTGCGTCCATCACATGTTCGGTCTCAGTGTTTGTGGTTTCCTCTCGGTTTGTACAAAGAGGGGAAACAGCAATGTGGATTAAGAACAAAGAGCCTGTTTATTCCGAACAGCCGCTGCATGTATAGACCAAAACTGACACAAGCACTACCAGTCAGTCCAGTCTACAGTATCTCCATCCCTCCCTTCCTCCCTCCCTCCCTCCTGCAACGCCGACGCAAAACCAGCATCCAGCCTTTGGTATGATCATTCAGAGTCACAAATTGGACAGCAGTCAGGAAACAATGCCAGGACTGTTACCCAGAGCATTCGGGGATCAATGGCGAGAACTTGGCCTTTTTACTTCCACAAGTTTCACAGTCAAAATTATCGCTCCAGCACTCAGCACAATCAGAGCTTTGTGTGTTTGGTGTGGGGCTGAAGCCGCTGCATGTTTAAAGCTGTCTCTCTGCTACAGCTTTAGGCCTCGTTACAACTCTGTTTTCTCAGTTGTGTACACGGGTTTAAAAACTGCCCTCTGTTCTACTTTATGACATGATTGACGCCGAAAGACCTCTCTCCAAAATGCACTACTTTCAATAGTCATAACCAGTTAGAACATCAGTTTGTTTCACTCTGTCAGGTTTTCTTAATAACTGTGTCACTGTTTTTTAAGGGGAAGATATGAAAATGTTGAAATGAAACAGTTTTATATAAATTATTAGGCCTAGCCAGGAATTGAGCGTGAAAGTTCTTGACCCTGGAAACAATAGTTAGACCAAAAAATGCAAAATAGAACAAAAAATCTCAACTAAAGGTACACGTCTCAGCTTCTTTTATATCTGACAGCTGCTTTTCTTGGTATTTGAGGGTTTTTCTAAAAAAATGTGTTTCAAAATGTGTAAACATGGCATTATATATTTATCCATGATTTTCCCAGTGCAGTATACTTTCCTGCTATGAGCTGTTTAGCTACATTTAGCTTTGTAACCTTGCAGCAGTAACTGACAGTAGGAGTAAGTGAACAGCAGACACTGTATTTCCTTTTTGATTACAGATGGTCATTTGTTAACAAGTGGTCTTGGTTAAAGAGGGGGGCTATTAGTCAAGAGTATGTGCAGGCTGGATTATAGTTCCCAAACCAGTGTAAGAGTTCAATACACTTTAGAAATAAGTATATTTGAAAGCAAAGGGGGTTCACACAAAACAAACACAAAAACATTGTACAAGATTCAGTAGAGATAACAAAATATTTGTAATGTTGGTAGAGGAAAAAGGATAGCGGTACGTATATATGAATGTATTTCAGTTACAATATGACCCTTTGAATTTTATCCTCCATGATTATAATGTATTCTGATTCACTTAAGATTGCTCCACGTCATCCCTATTACAATTATGGAACAAGCAGCTTGCAGGTTTTATCGCGTACATATTCTGTATTGTTCTGTCAAGCCTAATTTACTTTAGGGAACATTAACTAACCACCTTTGTTATGTGTTATGATGTAAGTTGCTATGGTGCATTGTCACAACGTAAAGCGTTTTGTGGACCCCAGGAAGAATAACGGATGTAATGCTGTAACTAATGGGGATCCTAATAAACATTTCATATCTCTAAACATATTCACAAATAGACTGTTTCTTTTTCTCCCAGGGAGAACATGGGTGGTGGCATGACCGCAGACCAGGGCTTGGCCAAGCCAATGACCCCAACCAGTGTGAGTGGTCCCTCCCCTTCCCCTGATGCTAGTGTCACCAGCAACACGCACCACTCCACCATGGCCTCCGGCGCCCCTGGACGTGGTTTTGGGGCTGTATCGGGTCGGGCACCCACACCTCAGGGAAACAGCCACTCACTCAGGCTGGGCAGCCCTTCGGCCCAAGGAAGCCCCAGCGTCACCTCAGGGGCCCAGGGTGGCATGTTATCTCCACGTCATCGCCAGAGCCCCAGCATGGCGGCCAGCAGCAGCAGCTGTAGTAGCCCTCACCTTGCCCAACATCCCCCTGGTTCTTTCTCTCCTGCAGCCGGCCTCCACTCGCCAGCATCTGTGTGCAGCAGCACAGGAAATGGTCAAGGGTTCAACTCCCTCAGTGCACTGCAGGCCCTAACCCAGGGCCACAGGGTTTCACAGGGACTCACCGAGGGGCAGCATCCAGAGTCACCTGACAAAAAGCCAGTTGGCCTTCAGAGCCCCTTTCACAGCAGCAGCGCTGGTAGCCAACAAGCTAAGAACAATCCCAGCTTAGAGGCGGACTTATTTGGAACTTTTGGGGACCAGCAAGACTTGTTGTCATCACAAAACCAGGAGGATGAGCAAGAGGAGGGGAGAGACGGTGACCCTGACAGCTTCGGGGAGCTTGGTGACAACCCAAATCACCTTCTGAACTCAAGAGGGCACACTAAGCTGCTCCAGCTCCTCACCAATAAATTAGAACCCTCTGATCCCTGCTCACCACCACGGCCCCTGGGGGACGACCAGGACTGTAAGGACCAGCTAGGTGGGATTGGGGGTGTGGGTGGGGCTGGGCATAACAACCACTCCACCTCACTGAAGGAGAAGCACAAAATCCTCCACAGGTTGCTGCAGAACAGCACCTCGCCGGTGGAGCTGGCCAAGCTAACGGCTGAGGCTACCGGAAAAGATCCCATTGGTCCAGAGTCAGCCTCAGGGGACAACATGGCCACCCTAGGTGAACTCTGCACCAAACAGGAGCCAGGGAGCCCCAAAAAGAAGGACAATGCGTTGCTTCGCTATCTGTTGGACAGGGATGATAACGGCATTCTGGATAAAGCCATCAAGATGGAACCTGGTGAGGGACCGAAGCTGTCCAACGTTAAGACAGAGAAACAGGAGCCGGTTTTCAACATGGCGGACCAGGTCAGTGTTGTTGACAGTAATATTCATGATTAGTGCTGTAATGATTAATCTGTCAGTGGATTGGCAGACAATTATTCACCTGCAATTTTGATAGTCAATGAATGAATTAATGGAGCAAAATGCCAATTACAAAGTATCAGATATGTTTTATTTATCTCCAGTGGTGGTGCCGATAGTTTTGGTTTGATTTGTCCAGGTTTTGAAATATTCCTTCCAACCCAATGGTTACTCTGGATAATCCGGTTCTGTAAACAAGTTTTAATCAAGCTATTTTCTGCCTAAGAAAAAGGGTTGAAAGAATTGTCCATGTGGAAACTCCAGGTTTAAAGGTCCAATGTGTAGCATTTAGGAGGATCTATTGGCAGAAATGGAATAAAATACTCATAACTATGTTTTCATTACTGTATAATCACCTGAAAATGAGAATTGTTGTGTCTTGTTACCTTAGAAGACACAGGTTCACAGCTGTCCTCCCTATGGGTCGGACGATGCCCAGCGTTGGTAAATACACGCATCTACCAAGGATTGATATTCATGTAATGATAATGACATATACAAATCATTTAACCTAATTCATGGTTTAGCAGGGAGATGTATAAAACTACACATCAGTTAAACATAAATAGCGTGAGTCGTATGTGCATTTAGTAGACCTGCGTCAATGGGTATCCATCGATCACATTTGGATATTGAGTGGTTTTTCTGCGGAACCAGTATTTTACACTTTCTTGCAGTTAAAACACTGCAAAGTGCAGTGACGTAGCTGAAGTTCCAGGAAGGGAAAAAAGGTGGAAGGCGGGGGTTCAAAAGTGTGACATCCTCAGAGACAAAGGCAACGTTACCACCAGCAGCTGTGCCTCCGGACAGCGGAGGCTGTGCCGGAGGGGAGGCTCCCAGCCTGGATGGCTTGGTTTTTAGCTTGCAGAGTAAAGGTGATTCTTTGTTGAGCTGGTCTTGATGGTGCAGGGGAACGTGCTTTAGGTAAAAGCTGTTGAGATTATATTGCACATTACCAGAGCAAGGAGCAGAATGGGAAAAACAGAAAGACAAAGCAAAGAACGAAGTACCTGTTGAACAGAATGTCAGCATGTCGATTGTGTTTGTGTTTTCATGTGCATGCACAAATCAAATGAACCTTTATTCAACACATTTTCTGAACAATTGCAAGTGATTAAATTAGCACACAGTTAAATTAAAGAAACAAAGAGTAAAATAATAATTAAAACATTGGTGTGTACAGAAGTTGTTACGAGAAAGTGCAGAGAGATGAACACATTAGAATTTTCCTCCAGTCTTGGAGGAGACTGAGCAGTTGAGCTTTGGCCTCTAATTCTGGCAGGAAAATCAGGGCAGTGCCCAACCCTATGGTGTTGGTTGCTTAGGAGAGGGCAGCAGCAATGTCCACTGAAAATAATGGCCTCTGTCTGCACAGTGTTGCATCCACAGGTTTGGTGTAAAATCCTAGTAAGACTTATATGTGCAACCACTTACGTATGGGTTTTTACTAACATCTAGTGGCAGCTGTGGAAAACTTCTGTTATCCACTACCGTCCCCAGTGTTTGTTTTTTTAAAGCAAATTCCGTTCCATTTTTATCTGCTAGCAAATTTGAGTCTTGCTACCTGTTAGCTGATGTGTCAGACATGATATACCACTGTTACTGTACTGAACACTGACAGGTTGAACAAGCAAGCGGAGGTGGCGCCACACTGCTTGAGCTAGCAGTAAAAGCTAAAGTTGGTGTGAAAATATTCAAGGTTTCATCTATATATTTGATTTTAGGGATATACTGACAAACAGCTATTTGAGGCACAAAGTGAGAACCACTGGATGTTTGTAAAATAGGCCGACAGCAATGCTGTGATTGGTTGACATTTAATATGCTGCATAAACAGACATTAGGCCAAGGTTAGCTACATCGCTAACATCGTTCTTCACTTGTCCAACAAAAACTGGATTTTTGTTTTTCACATCCCTGTCTAAATTATGCCCTTGATGTGTGGCCAGGCTGTGTTCACTGTGCGTGTGTGTGTGTTTGTGCGTGTGTATACACTCTGGCTAAACAGAGCAGTGACTGTGTGTCTTACTGTACATCACACATGACCTCATTAGTGCCGGCAGTTTATTTTTAGCTCCTCCTCTATTCAGCAGCCAAACGGCCGGAGGAAACCCATTCCTGTCAGTGTGTGGGGGTGTGTGTGTGTGTGTGTGTGTGGGTGCATGTGCGTATGTACACTGAAAGAAACTGAAAACCCCCCCTCAGTATTACAAAGATGTCAAAAGTGAAAAGTGAATATCAGATTTCATGTTTTCATTATGTGAAAGTTTCTTTGAATTTTTGTGATCCATGGTACCTCTTAGTTATTTCCATTTATTCTGTTTTCTGCATGTTAACTTTATTAAATAAAACAAAGACAAAGAATATCTTATTCTAGCTTTCATACATATTTTATATCTTATATTGACATTAAAAAGAATACAAAGCAAATAGTTTGAAGCAAAGTGCACCTGAACTGAAAGCTTCTCTGGTTCTTCGTTGGCAAAAACAGATTAATCACCTGCATGTATTCCTTCCTCCTAAAACACCGACTATTTTAGATATAAGGTTGTCTGTTGCAGTAAAATAGAAAGTTATCTCTGATTATGCCCATTCTGCGTATGCTTTAAATTAGGGGTCACATGGAGTGGTGAAAATGATTTGGATTTATAAAAGGTGTTGAAATTGTACACCAAATAACAGTTAAGCTCTTTTAATGCGTTGAACTATCTGACTTCTAATCCTGTTTTTTTTTTCTGCGGCTGATCTCAGGCCAGTGAGTTGGAGGACCTTCTGGACGACCTGCAGAGTGGCGGTCAGCAGCTGCAGTTTGGGGTTCAACCACAAGTCAGAAGACCAGCCTCCTCTTCGTCCGCCTCGTCCTCCGTGCCGCCTGGTTCCTCTGCGGACAAACAGACCATCATCAGCAACATCCTGCAGATGACAGACAGCAGCAGCAGCCCCCCCACCCAGCACAGAGGCTTCCCTCCCATCGGCCCTGCAGGTACGTCTGTAACAGTGTGTTTGTGTCAGTCTGGAGGCTTGATTTGATGATTTCTGGCTCTTGTAATCTTGTAAATAACAAATAAGAAAAAGACAAATCTTGCCTTCCACCCAGCAGGCTTTAATAGTGCCAGGCCGGGGCAACCGGGTCGAGGTGCTCCTCCTGCCAGGAGTGCGTCTCTGGACGGCAGTATGGGCCCCAACCCCAATGCTGGCAGGCCATTTCCTCCTCAGCACAGGAACAACGGCCCCTACTCTTTACTGCAGCAGCAACAGCAGCAAGGCATGATGGGAACCCACGCAGGCATGGCCAACCAGGCTGCGATGGCCAATCCAGGTCAGGAAAATAAATAGTACCCCCTCGGTCCTGTCTAAAAATACTGTAGTAATTCTTACATTAGTCCTACATTAGTCTTAATTACTGAATTATTCTTATAAAGAATTTTATTCCATTTCAAAATAAGTGAAAGTTTCTGCCAACATTGACTTTTATTTAATGCAGATTTAGAGTTTTTTTCCAGGTGGGTCACTGGAAAATTAAACACAATTCTTGAATAAAGTAGATCTGCATCAGATACACATCTTCTCACCTCTTTGTTCCTTCTAAGAAAAATAATGTTTAAAGATTCTGTATTGTATAAAATAACTTTTAATAATCTTAAAATCTGATTATTTCTGTTCTCCCCAAATCAGGCATGATGAGCAACGGGCCAATGCGTGGCTCCATGCAGCAAGGCTGGGGTCCCCAGGGGCCCATTGGGGGTACTGCAGGGCCGATGATGGGCCAGGGTGTTGGACCCGGTCGCATGGTCCCCAACATGAACACTGCGATGCCCACAAGAGGCCCGCCTGGATCCAGACCCATGGTCAACATGCAGATGATGGGCAACGGTGAGAAGACTCACAAACTGACACCAGCTCTCATCTAAACAGGACTCATTCTGACCTTTTGTGCTTTTTTTCTTCCCTTCAGAGATGGAGATGGCAAACCCTGCCTACCCTCAGCAACAAGCTCCGCCCAATCAGACTGCGCCGTGGCCAGACCGAATGATCACTATGGATCACTATGGAAACCAAAGCAGGTATGGCATTCATTCCATCGTAAAGCATATAGGATGAGTCATCCATTAGAGGTTAGACAAGAGCAGCAGTTCTAGGGTCCAAGTATGGGTTTTGTCTGGTGTGACATTAATACCAATTTACCTGCCAGGCCACCGTATGGGGACGGGATGGGGTGCTGCGGTACAGGGCCTGAGGGCCAGCCAGATGAAGGAGCCCTGCTGAGCCAGCTGTGCTCGGTGTTAAAGGACTACGAGGGTCTGGAGGAGATCGACAAAATGTTGGGAATCCCAACGCTGGCTGGACAGGTGAGCCCCTTTAAACTGTCCTTAAGAATCACCTGGCTGGGGAGAAATAAGAAATCTTATTTTAATGGATGATTTTCCAAGTTTTAATCATGCTTTATATATGTTTTATTGCCTTTTTTAACTGAAAATATTTAAAATAATGTAAATGACAAAACATTTTTATTAGATGCAAGTCTGCAGTTAATACTGAAGATACACGGAAAACAAGGAGAAATGTTCTTCCTTCCCTGCAGGGTCCTATGTCAGACCAGGACCAGTACCTCGGCTCCTCGGACCCAGCGGCCAACATGAAGCCTCTCCTGTACAGTCAGTACGGTGGCCAGCCAGGTTATGGTGGCATGCCTCCCGACGGTGGCTTCCACGGCCCCTCTATGAGTGGCCACATGGGGCCGCAGAGGATGCCCCCTGCTGGTTACCCCCCAATGATGAGGATGCCCGGGGGCACGGTGTCCAGACCGGCCGGGATGAGGCCAGGCGGGCCTAATCCAGGAGTGCCACCTCAACCCAACAACCTGAGGCTCCAGCTGCAGCACAGACTCCAATCCCAGCTGGTAGGTGGCACCAAATAGTTTGTATCACTATTCTGATATTAAATGAGCACAAACCAGACGTTTTGTGTCACAGTTCACAGTACTGTAGGTACAGGTGGTAGGTGGTGCTGGATGCTTGGTGACAAAGTGACCACTTGTGCAGTCGCACTTGCAACTATTAGTTGTGGCTAGTATCCTTCATGGCAAAATGGATACGAATGGATAAGAGGAAAACTCTCTTTTTGATGCAACCTCTGTTGAGATTTCCCTGCTCATGACAACATCAAATACATGTTATTACATTTTGGTAAACAGAATAGTTGATTTTTTTAGGTTTATATCTGTTAGGTGGAAAACAGCATTTTTGTAGGTTTTAACTTCCGAAACATTTCAGCACCAGGCTGCTGTAAAATTATAACTTGTCATCCAGCTTCGTCAAACTAACCAACTTCCAGCCAGACGCACCCTCATGGAAACGTTATATAAGGTCTAAAAACACATGCAGCTTTATTTATTTATTCAACTTTATTTTAGTTATATATAATACATCATATAAGCATGGTGAGGTCCTTCCCTTATTAATACCTGAATAAAATCACTTACATTTTGTCTCTTGCTCCCTGTGAATACAAACATTTTTAGAAAAGATCTTGACAAACCTTGAGTCTTTGTTTCATCCTTATTCAAGTGCCGAGTCTCATTACCATGAAAAAGACAAGGTTGTCTTATTATACAGTCTCTTTTTGCTCTTTTTTTGCTCTTTCTTCTTATTACATCTGATGCAACAGAACAGGTTGTGATGCCAACAGGGTTCAGTGAGTTTAAACAGCAGCAGGCAGAAAGGAACAAATGTGTTTGAGCTATCTGCCTTCATCAGCAATTCCCTGCTGCAGAGACACTTAACAATGAACACACATGACATGTACATACACACACACACAAATTCATATGCTCACTCATAAGGATAATTGCATACACAGACTGTACCCTGTGTGCTTGACCTGTTGTTATCACATCCCTTTCAAGAGCCCCATAATGTTCCTCTTTGAGACTGTATGTACAATACCTTCATGTTCTAATGCTGTATTCATTTCCAAGTCAATTTGAATTAATACATATATTTAGTTTCTTAGTACATTTCTTCCCTTTCTTGTTTTTATGGGGCTTTATGGAGGAATAATCCCTACATTTAATATTTTGTAATATAATTCAGCACAAGACTTACTCTAAACATCCATATTTACATATTTGATAACAACCTATTCTACAGTCTACAACACATCTAGAGTGCCACCTGGTGGAGAGAGGAGGGAAAGCAGCTTGTGTAAATCAACTAAAATAGCACTGACAATTTAACAGTGTGTTGAAACGTGAGACACGACTCTTGCACTTCCATCTTTACATTTCTGTTGGTGCCAGTGGGGAAACAGTGACTCCAAATTCTCTCTCCAAATCTTCTCTGTAAACACATAAATGAGGCAATCAGCTGAAGGTTTTAATGCTGAAATAAATGCTCGACATGTCAGAATTCAGCATCCACGATTTCCTGAAAATATACCATGTGATGGCAGGTGTGTTACCAAATATGTAATGGTTTTATTCAGTATTATTGCAAACATTTGTAGCATTGGTGGCCCCACAGGAGTCACAAACAACAGTCTTAGTGCTTGAGAAGTGGAATATACAGCGACTGGCTTTAAGCAGCACTCACATACAAGCTTTGTGGAGGAGAAGTTAAGTAACCTTAATTTACGAGTGTGAGACATTATTACACCCTATAAAAAATGGGGACTGACATGTCAAGGTGATGTTTTGAAGCTAAATGTATGTTTTATGTCTGAGTGGTTGTTACTGTCTCCTGTCATTTTCCACTGACATTAATAAAGCACTCTATCTACCCCCCCTCCCCCCACATAGAACCGCCAGCCGATGGTGAACCAGATGAGTGCAGTGTCCAATATGAATCTACCTCTAAGATCTAATGTACCAAACCAGGTCAGTCTATATGTATGTATTAATACCCC